CGGGCGGCGCCTTCAGGGCCGGAGAAGGAGCGAAGTCCACGTGCCTTTGCCGTGCGAGGGAAGGGAGGGGGGTCGGCCAACTTTACTTACCCGAACCGGAGCAAGCCCCCAAAACGGCTTGCAGTACACACACACACGTTTAATATATCTAATGGCTTTTTCTTTCCCCCGTTTTGTAACTTTGTAAGCTGGTTTCTCACGAGGGGAAAAAGGCATGGTATCATGTAGGCATAAACAAATAGAAGAAGATGGATAACTTCATCCTTGGTATTTTTTAATTGCTGCCGTAAAATAGTGCTGTGTTTGCAACAGAAGGGGGGACGCGTAGCTTTTAAGGATGACACTTAACTACAGTAACAAAACTCTAGCGTTCTGGGGGTAAACCATCCAGCGTGATACGGTGTGGTGTGGTGTGGTATGGTGGTATTTACATCCTTAGATACAGCAATGCAGTGTTCTTTACAGCTGAAAAGACAAACTCTGAAGCTGTAAGTAATAACAATCCAGTAAAGAAACCCCTCTTTTGACAACTTGCTGGTTTCCTGCTGTGTTCCGTACTAGCACATGCTCCATAGAGATATTAATCAAACCCCTCGGTATTCTTAAGCGTTGTAATTAGAAGCTTTAAAACACCTATTGATTTAATTTACTTTGATCACATGATTTAATTCTTTTGCGGTTTTTGTTTGTTAGTACTTGGAAGAAGTATGTTGGGTTTTACCTGGAAGCTTGTTCCTATATAAGGATTCGATTGTTGGTTGGAAGAATAAATCTGGTGCTCAAGTTCAGCTTTTATTACTCCCTTATAAAGGCATGCTGTCACTAGCTATCCAGGCTCAAGAGAACCTGTACATGATACAGCAATTTGTATAAAATAAGACTGTACTTCATTTAATAGGCTATAGTGGCACTGAAATAAGCTCTGAAGTTAAATGTCCCTTGGATGTGTAGATGAGCTATTAAAAGTTAGGCCCTCCCCATTCTCTAATCATTTGTATTAAGCATAGCGTTCCTCTTATAACCCCTGTTCACTTATCAATTCGTTATCAGTGTCCTGTTACCATCTGTCTTCCGGGAACATGCCGGAAGTACCATGCCATGCCATGTAGTGCGTCCGCTTGGCGTTGCTCACCCTCCTGAAGAATGCATAAACTCTGTCATCCTCTCTCCCCTGATTGAAAGTAGTGGGGAGTGTTACATACTGCCAGTACATCATTATCAATCATTAGACATTCAGTTAGGTGGAGCCAGGTCTCACTAGCAACTGTGCCAATTAATTGCTTTTAAATTGTTTTCATTTGATCATACAAGTCTAAATTGGAGAATTTATTGGCCAAAATTTGCTAGAAAAAAAGTCACAAAAAAATTTCTGGAAGTAAGGAACAGATGCGCCACGCGTACAGTAACACATAGAACAGGGGACTTGCCTCCTCTTTCTCACGCATCCAAGCTTGGGTCAGTGACAACTGAAGATCTGATGACTGCTCTTGTGAAATGAGCTAGTGCTCTCACATCATTTGTTATGGATTGTATCTTTAAGACAGAAACTTCTACAGTATGGGTTAGGGCCAAAAACATGGTTTGAATATAAATAATACAATTTGTCCCACATACATGGGGAAAAAAATCCTTGGGAGAAATGGTCTGTTTTTCTGAGATAGACCAGAGGATTGACTTTATCTGCATCATGGTTTTACTTGGGGCCTCATTTCAGGAAGATGGGGTAATGGAAAAGAGTGTTTTTTGTCTTCAAGATCTTCCTTTCAGTGTGTGGTTGGTTAATCATTAACAACACTTCCACAGTACATTATCTAATCATGGATAAGGCACTTAGCTTCAAACCTGTTACAGAGATCTGTTTGACTGCCTCTGTTGGCACCCCTCTGTCTCTGTTTTTTTCTGGCTGAGAAAATCTGGCTGATTTTGGTTCAGTGTGAACTCAGGCAAATTTGATAATGGATGTAGCATCTTATCTCAAGTGTAGACATCCTTTATCCTAAGGATGGTTTTATGTGACCATGTTCGTATCGGAGTCCTGCTGTATGCTGAATTTAGTCTATCTGAAGGGCTGCTTACTGAACGGTATTCCTGAGCTCTTTGCAGCTTGATGCTGAAGTCACTGAGACTGCATCTGTTTGGGGGCTTCTGACTTGATTCACGCTATTGCATACCCCTCTGCAGCTAATATAGGGACAGCACTGGAAGTAATAGGCATTGAGAGTAAAAATATTCCCCCATCAGTGTTGCATCACCGTCGCTTCTCGCTTAAGGCCAGGACTTCGGCAAGCTCAGATCAGGATGATTGATTTGTCTCTACAAAGCATTAGTACTGTAGCATAGACTCATCGTCATCAGGTCTGCCTATGCTCTTACCAGCCCTGTTTCATTATTTGGGCACTGAGGCATAAAGCACTAAGGCCCAGACTCATAAAATATGTGTGCATCCAACTTCCACAGAAAATAAATACGAATTGCTTAGATAAATACTTTTGTGGATCTTGACCTGAATGGCTTGTCCTAGGACAGGTAATCAGCAGCAGAACAAGTAATTAAAGATGGAGCCCTCAAGCTGTGGATCAGTGCTCTACCTGTTTAATTTATTCCACTCCAGCCCTGTATTGTGTTTGCTCCCATTGGTTTCAAATTTTGGAACACTGTGAATAAATCTATAGCTCAGGTATGTGGGAAATTTTATGTTTGATCATGTAGGATATTTTAGCTGACTTCTTTCTATGATCCTTGGCAGGTTTGAATTTCTGAGGAAAAGGCAGAAGACCCTATCAGACAATTCAGTTCTTCAGTAAAAAAAACTTTCTGCTGTTACTGATGTCAAGGTGAAAGAAATTTTGTTTCGATAGCCAAGCTTTGTGAAATGTTGATTGGCATATTTTTTCCAAAGTACAGCCAAGCTCGTTAACCCAGCCCACTTCAGTGTTTGTTGAAATTTGACGAACAGTCAGTGTAAAAGTCCGATAAGATAACAATTTAACTTTGTGGGAACGATTTGCGTCAAGAAATGGAAAACACACTGCGTATCCTGGTTAGCTTTTCTGACTGGGGTTTCGATGTGTTCTAGAGATTTCTAATTGATCCTCCATGAGGAGGACTGCTGTCCTTTATGGGTCAGTGAAAATGGTGGTGAGCCGTCCGGCTTTCTATTTGTAAGCGTTGTAGATATCTCCTTTTTTTTTTTTTTTTTCCCTCCACCCCTCCAAGCTGCCAATCACGTTTAAACAGTCCTTAGGCAGTTGCTTCTAAGCAAGCAAGCAATACATTTGGAAACCGAGAACCTTCGCTTTCAAAACTGCATAAATCTTAGTGTTGTTTTCTTAAGCCACGCATTGCATTAAAATTAGCTACAGTACTTGAATTCCCTCTTTCTATTTTTAAAGATATTTAAAAGAGTAAGATACTTAGAAAGATATTTAAAAGAGAAACTGAAATGAAATTGATTCATCTCAGACTAAAGCGATTCAAAATTGAATACGTGTGGGTTAACAAGCATTCCTTAAACGATCACACACTTAAACTACTGAACTGAATGGCCTTAGACATGAATTATTTCTGCTATGTTGACTGTAAAACAGACTGAATTTCCCATTTTTAAGTCATCTTTTTTGAAAATATGCAAGAATACTAATTAATTCAGAAAGGAAAGGTATAACTCATTTCACTCAAAAAGCTGCTGAATTGCTAAAGCTTAAACTTTAGCTCATTATCTTTGAGCTGTGATGGCCTTTGGAAAATTTCAACCTCAGAGGAATTTGACTAGAAAGTTATGAACAACTAAAGAAAGGGAATGGGGGAAGGGAGCTAGGCTGGAATAAGTTGCTCTGGCTTCAATAGTTAGGGCCAGTACAAGCAACCACTACAGTATCCAGCCATGCTGTTCGTATTTCAGTGGGGAGGAGAGCGTAGCTCTTATCTGCAGGTGTGCGTACACAGACAGCCAGAGAGAGCATGCACGCACGTGCACGTGCGCGCACACACACTTTATGACTGGTCTTTAGAGCAATCAGCCAGCTGTGAATTTCCCTTTTCTGTTTCCTCATGGTTTACCTCTGATTTTTCAGTAAGACGATTTTAATTGTATACAAAGATACCTCTAGCCTGAAATGTTAGCTGGAGCCTCAAGCCTGCCAAACGGCATGCCAGCTGCATGCTCTGCTCAGTAGAGCCTACAGGTTGAATGACAATCTCAAGGTGAAAAGAGAAACTAAATCACTGTGGAACTGACACTAAAGATGTAATCTTTTCTGAGAAAACAGGTTTACCTTCATGCATATGGAAGACATCCCAGCCTGTCCTTGATTCTCTGTTTGGATAAGGGATGCTTAAGAGAGAGGCACATTGTTGAAATCTCTTTCGCCCATCCAATAGTAACATTGGCAATTGAATCAGAATGAGGATTTTGACCTTTGATTTGAGGTTATTTGTCTCTATGCAGCTCATAATTATGAGAAAAAATATTGTAATAAATAACAAATAAAGAAACCGTGCAAGTGAAAGTTATTGTCTCCAGTATATATATTGGCAGAAGTTATACACCCCTACCAGGACAGGGAATAATGAAGCTTAAAAGAGAGTGTAATAACAGTAAAAGAGAGGGCAGGGTCAATTTCTTTGCTGTTGAGTCATTGTATCTCTGTTTTGTAACGTCAAAAGATTTAATGGAAGGATCAGCTGATTAAACACATACACTATACAGAGAAAAGATATTAAACAATTTTGGGCCTGATCTTGCAAAGCTTATGAAGCAAGTAGTCTCACTGGAAATTACAGGACTGAATCCTTTCTCTGTTACTCTAACAGAGGGCACACTTCACTGCATTTGTAACTACGGTAGGTTTAAATTATAGCATGGCATGTTGATTGTAAGGGGAAAAAATATCTGTTCAGTGACTGTAAAAAGTACTCTCCTGTGCTTAATGCAATGTTCTGGAAATAAGTAACTGTAAACTTTGCCAAGAGGATACTATCCAAAATAATTAATATCACGTCCTGACTTTTCCAACTTTGCTTTCAGGTGGATATGTTGCTAACAGTCTAGCAATTATGACAGATGCACTTCATATGTTAACTGACCTTAGTGGAATTATTTTGACTCTGCTTGCTCTCTGGCTGTCTGCAAAATCTCCCACAAAGAGGTTCACCTTTGGATTTCATCGCTTAGGTATGTAGATACCAGCTTTTACTATTAACACAGTATTTTAAGCAACCACTATGAAGAATATCTAACTCTACAGGAGTAAATGCTAGAAGAAGAGTAGTAACAAATCTAAAAATAACTTTATGTTTAGGACCCTGACTCTGATGTCCTTTTGCTCCTTTGGCCGTTGTGGTTGAGAGAGATCCGCTGTACGTGTTTTATTGCCACAGGGGAACAAATCACTTCCCAGAGCTCAAATGTGGGCTTGTCTCTATCAAACCTTGCCCGAGCTCTAAGAAGTATGGCTAAAATTAAAGATGACTAGCCGTGGTGGAGTATTTGGCCTGGCCGCTCCGCAAGTTTTAGTTATAGGTCCTTTTGATAGAGAAGATCATACTGCTGACTTTCTGGTCATCAGACCTTTGTTTTTATTTTTAAAACAAAAAAAAAAGCGAGGTTTGATGGCAGGGTTTCACTCACTGCGAGCAAGATTAGCCTCTCAATGTCTGTGGAACTAGGATTTTTCAAATTCACAGTTAAATTCTGAATGCTTGATCTTCCTGCTCAAAGAGGAAGGCTTTCCTGATTATTGGGATATGCAGCCGTGTTTCACAACCCATCCATAGTTACTGGGGCAGTTACAGCAGGTCAGGCCGCTGTGCAGCTTTGTACTTTGGAATTGAGGTCTGTTGAGCAAAACAGGGCTACATTCAGTGGTCACTCGCTGCTGTATCACTGTTACTGCTTCTGTGACAGTTACCACCGAGAAGTCTGTTGCAGCAGGACCAGCACATGTCAGTCAGCTGTTGTCCGGAAGACTCTGTCGCCAGTAGGCCACATTTATGAAATCCTCTTGATTTCAGTGGAATTATGGCACTGGAAAAGAGTTCTATGCAACATCAACAATGGCATCGTAATCCAGGGCTAAAAGTTCTGTAAAGTGTAGTATCATAGCATAGCTCTGCCCTGCAAGAAATCTCATAAGTTAGTATCTGTTGCACTCCCAGAAACACACAGACAGCAGAGGTCAACATGTCCCATGGTATGTGATACAGTAAGTTACTTAACTTTGTCTGAAAACAAGTATAAACAGAATTATGGGTGAAACCTTGGAAGGGTATTTTCAGGATTCATTACTTCATGTTTGCAAATCTAAGATGATAAAGGCTGCTTTCATGTAGCTGCTAACTGTATCAGGTATTAATAATAATAATTCATAATCTACAGTGGCAGATCTTGACTTGTATTTTCCCAAGAGCTTCAACTTTCATGCTTCATAAAACAGATCCATTTTTAGTATCGTAGCTTGCTACCTCTGCTCTCTATGTTCTATAACATATATTTTTCAAAGAATTTCAGAGTCTTGTGTAGTCAGTATTTGCAATTCTTACTTTGGCTGCTAGAACAGCAATAGAATTCAGCAGCTCTATCGCTCCTAGTCATATGTCATCGGTTAGTCGCTAACGCATGAATGCATAACCCTGTACACTAGCAAAGATCTTTGAGGCTTTAGCGTAATTGGATCAACAATGCCAGCATTTCCCATTACAAACTTTTCTTTCAAGAAGTTTTAATTTTGTGGTAGGAGTTCCCTCTAATACTGAAACCTGACCTTGGAAGTATGCCCCTGGCATTTGCTCATATTCTCCACAAGGATGTTTGGTAGCATTTAGACATAGTAAGTCACTTTCACCTCATTTAAAAATAATTTTGGAGTATTTTACATGTCTTTATAACCTTTCTAAAACCAATTAGATGTAGAGTGAACGTGCCATGGCCTAACTTAAACCAGGAAGCTTGAGCAATTAATCTTAAGAAAAATATGACATACTTGTATTTAACCATCCAAATTTTAATCAGTTATGGAAATTTTCACTGCCTTGTCAATTAATTAATTCAAGGGCTCCATAGCACTTTGCAAACACAAATCCCTGAGGATTCCTGTCACCTCGCTTTCTGTATCATTTCTCCATTTTACTGTCAAAAAACAATACTGGCCAGACTGATCCAGTGGTGGCCTGTGGGCTAGATCTAGTCCATATGGCCCATCATCTCCTCCACGGTGAGGAGAGCTGCTCACCCCTGCAGCAGTTACTCCTTCCTTTCTGTTGCCCAGTGACAGTACGTGGTCAAACACTGGGACAGGTTGCCCAGAGAGGTTGTGGAGTCTCCATTCTTGGAAATACTCTAAATCCAACTGGACACAGTCGTGAGCAATGTGCTCTAGTTGATGCTGTTTTGAGCAGGGGCGTTGGACTAGACAACCTGTGGCAGTACCTCCCACCGCTGCCATTCTGTGGGATTCATCATGAGCAGCAGTGCCACGCTCTGGGTCAGAGCACGAGGGCTAGAGCCCTACCCTGCAAGAGACCCCCAAAACCTAGGTCTAGTCTTTGCAAGTACTAAAGGTGGGCTGGTTCAAAATGACTGCACATAGTTTTCTAAAGCACGTTTGTGAGATCTGTTTGCCTAATCAGAACGCTGTGGCCTGAGGGCCCGGTTTCACACATCAATGAATACTGTCACTGGAACAAAGCTGCTTCTGTGCTGCATCGTCGCTGTAACACATTTTTCCAAATATTCTATACTGTAAGAAGCTTGTCAGCAAATAATTTTAGCTTGACAATAGCTTAAATTTCATGAGAGATATTAAAACATGACAGAATGTTAAAAATTGGGTACAGATTGAGCATCTGTCACAGAAAAACTTGGAACATTTGTTCAAAGCTGGGAATATGTACAAGAACAATCTCATGGCTGACTTGCTTTGCATTAAATTTTAAGATAACCTATACATATAGTAAGCATGAAAACTTTATAATGAACAGTGTTTCTAGCGCTTATTATCACTTCTGTTTGCAGAACCATGAATTTTCAAACCAGTTCCCATAACTATGTGCATGGTAAAAACAAGACAACAGACCTATTGGTTATCTAGTCAAATTTAGACGAAAATTAGCACTACTTTCATCTATTTGAATTCTCTTTGAATGCATAATATATGCATTCCGTCTTTGGTTGTACTCCATTTTCAGTGGCGAAAAGGAAGCTGACAGATTCAGGAATGGGTTAGAAAAGTGAAGATGAAATAATGGAAATTGCAGTCTTGTTTGAAGGGCTATATTGTTGAAGCCAAAAATAGTTCTGTTTCACCAGGTGGAGATATCTCCTTTTCAGCAAGATACAAGGCGTATTTAACCACAGATATGGAACCTGGCATCTTTCCATTCCCGCAGAGACAATGTTAGTAATGACAGAGTCAGTCAGTCCAGTGCATAGTTAATTTCAAAAGAAGTGAAAGATTTCAGCACAAATCTACAATGCCAACACGACAATGACTTTATGAAAGCTACTGCAAGGAAAATATTGGTTCTGCTACAGAAAACATGGTTTTAGATTAAAAAACTACAATATATTATTTCTCTGGTATTAATGTGCTATGATTTCACAAATTTTAAAAAGTGCTTGAAAAACTTCTAATGAATGTGTTTAAGGTTGTTGTCTTGAATAATCTGCCTGCTTTATAAAGAATGCTACTGCTTGCAGGGATGATTCCAGGATTTTCCAATTGCCCTGAAATCATCTGAGATTGTGACAGTTGCTTTTCAGAGCCTTGTTACTGCCTGGCAATGCTGGTACTCATCCAGGCATTGACATGCTACCAAACAGCTGAATGTGTTGGCGTGAGTTTCTGCTCTCATAATGATGTTAGAAACGCAGCCTATGGATCAAGTGATTTTGATGATATTAAAATGCTTATATAGCTGCATGTTTTTTTCCTATCTATAATATTCAATAAATAAAGATAAGAATTCTTTTCTGGAAGTAACACCTTCTGCAGTAATCAAAGCTATACTACACAGTGACAGACTCAGAATAGAGGGAGAACTGAGGCAACTCTCAGATCAACAGTCTCGGAACTATGGTATAGCCAAGAGGCAAATTTTGCTCTTGCTGTGGAATAAATCAAGGCAGCACGTGTGGAACAAGGAAGAACAACAGTTATAATGCAAAGCAAAATTAATTTCAGCTCTGATCTTTGAATTCACACAGGGAGGCTAAGATCCCAGTGACCTAACTGGCAAGTGACACTAACGAGCGTGACAAATAATGATTAGAAATTACTCAGGAACGGCTGTAGATTTGCATGCAATACAATGGAGCTAGCATTAAGGTCTTCCCAGTGCTTCTCTTCGTAAGACCCTGTATTAACTTGCTTATAAATGAAACAGTCTTTTAACTATTTGGGCCAGAGTTTTCCCTGTCAGGTGTCATGGCTTCACCTGATTTTTCTTTCTCTTTTTTTAAATTTCAACTACAAGAGGTCAATCATTTCAGCATATGAAGCTAGACGGACAGATACGTTTCTGTTAAAAAGAATCTAGTGACCTGTTTGAAAAACTCTGATACCTATATGCTTTACAGCAGCCCATAGAGGGAGTGGGCAACAGAGGGAAGATGCATCAGGAGCGTGTCTTTTGTCTTCCCATAAAAATTTGCTTGCATGTTGTCAAGTTGCCATTTTGATACGTAGTGGTTTGCATATGACCAGCAGAAACTTGGTGTGAATGAGACGCTCCTAAGATGGAATGTCACAGATAGCTTCTTTCCCTTCCAGGATTCAAAGTGGACAGGGCTGCTGTCTGTGTGAGCACAGTGAACGGGGATGAACATCTGAGAAAGAGCAGAAACTGACATGGAGTAGCGCTTTTTAAAAAAATAAATGTATATGTGTATATGTATTATATATAGCTTATTTTTATATATGTATATACATACATACATACATATAAAAGCTGTAATTGGGAACTAGCAGGGTCTGGGGTGAAATTAAACAAAAGGAAATGCTCAGGGAGAATTTGGGGGACCCCAGCTTTCCTGATTCCTAGGCTGATGTGCCAGGAATTTAGGTGGTATTTCCTAGCTTAGAATGAGAGACATTTTGAAACATTTTAGGTTCAAGCAACTTGCTTCTCCCAATTAAATTTTATTTCATCAGAATATTTATTACAGGTACTTAACATAGGTTTCATATTTTCTATCTTTTATCTTGTGTAAGCTTCATTTATCCCTTGTACCTATACACTGTGATAATTTAGTTATATGATCCTTCGGTGTTTTTTTTTTTTTTTTGGAGAGGTCTTAATGCTAGTTTTTAACAATGCTTTTTTTTGTTTCTCACTGAAAAGGGATATTCTGATATATTGCCTACCCAAAGAAAGGGAATCATGAGTAAATAATAGTCAAAAAAGATTTAGACTGCTTTTGCAAGCAAGATTCTAGCATGTTTTGAAGCAGCAGTTTCTTTAAATAATACCTAGAGAAATTACCTTACCAGAGACAAATTTTCTGTCCACCTCACAAGTTTACAGTTTAAGGAAGACAATCTTTATCTGTGTTGTAAAACCACCGCACACACACAATGTGAGCAGTTTGGCAGACCAGGAATTCCCTACAAAATAACCCCCAACCCTCACCCTCTCTTCAGGAGGAAGACCCAGTAGTGCCTGTGAAGCGCACTCACATTGGACACAGCCACTCCGCAGCACGGGGACGTGGGAAGAGCCTGCCTCGCTGCAGCTGTCTGGTGGCTCTAAATTTTCTCCAGAAGTCTGTTCATACTGAAAAAAAATAAAAAAAAATAACGTGTTAATTTTTCAGCGTGGGACAGAGCAGATTAACTATGGAGTATAGATGGGCAAGAACTGTCCCCCCTCAAAGTCTGCTTTTAAAAATAACTGGGTTTTTTTGTTGTCTGTAAAACTGTCCTGTGTGAAGCCCATCTATTCGCACAGACTATAGGCTGAGTAATTTTGTGTGAAGCGGAAATACCTGAAGCCTAGAGAACTGTGCCTGTCACTAATTTATGTGCTAGACCACTGTGGTGATCTTCAGCGATGTCCCCGAAACCTGAGGACTCTGCACTGCTCACCTTCTGTGTTAGTAGGTCAGTTTCACACGTACTTGCCAGTATAAAATGACACCGTAACCATAAACAGTGCCCCTACCCTGGCTCTGGATCCTCCTGCCTGCCCCACTACTGGCATGCTTTCTGCTGTCACCAGCACAAGTGAACCCTAAAGGACAATTTATTTTTGTAGGATTTTCAGATATTAGCTTTGATACAGCATATAGGTTCTCTGAGCCAGTTCCAGAGGCGTTGTGCTGGCACAGGTAGGGCGGGCAGCGTAGGGACAAGCAGCAAGGAAAAGGGGGGACAATGTTTCCTTCACTAGCAGTGCCAGCTTAAAGCGTTTTGGGAAATACAGCCCCGTTTACCTCACGTCAGAACAGCAGGAGCTTGGGGGGAGTCACAACCACTTTTCACGCATACAAAAGGCAGCTGAAAGTGCAGGATAGGGAGGTATCAGGAGTTTTTATTCACTTCCTAATTTTCTTTTTATTTAGATGTACATACCCTTTTGAAAGTCCTGCTGCTCAGATAAAATTACTAAATTACAAAAAGCCCAATCTTAACAATATTATCTTTGTGAAAAAAAAAAATTTGGTAACCTTCAGATAACATTAAAACAGCATATTACAGCAATACAGAGACTTACATTAAGCAATGATTCATAGCTGAAATGTACAATAAATAATGTGTATATACACGTCAAGAGTCTTAGTACTTTTATGTATGATGAGTTTGTACTGTTCAGTGCATTATTTTTTTCTAACTTTTTCTCCATTCTAAACAGTAAAGAATATGTAAAAATAATCTCTATATCCAGCTTAATGTTGTGAGCATTGGAAAGGAAACTTTCTCTGGTTTGTAGGTGGGCTGGTGATGTTTCATATGCCCTGTCTTCCTTTCCCTGGACAGGTCTCGGTGACTTTGTGACTTCTCAGGCAAAAGTTCCAGGTAGTCTGATGAAGTCACAGTTGTTGTCTGTGCAGAATTTTTAGTTTAACCAGGGAAAACATCATATGAGGGATAAACTGACCCGAAAGCGTGAAGGAGTCGATTAGCATGAACAACTCTATTTGTTAATCCTATTTTCTAAATCTGACTTACTGCACAACTTACTAGTGTTACAATAAGTATAAAAGTGTTAAAATAATTAAGGCTCTGTCTACATTATAAATACATTTTTAATAGGAAATAGATCTGAGACTTGCTTTTGTAATGTCGTTTCCTTTTCTGTTTGCAGAAGTATTATCAGCCATCATTAGTGTATTGCTGGTGTATATACTTATGGCATTCCTCTTGTATGAAGCTGTTCAAAGAACTATCCATATGGACTATGAAATAAATGGCGATATCATGCTGATTACAGCAGCTGTTGGTGTTGCAGTTAACTTAATGTAAGATCTCTCTTTCTCTCCATTAATACTCATAAATGTATTTCTAAACAAACTGTGCTAATTCATTCATGACCTGTAACTTCCTCATTGGATGGTATTTTTTTTGGACCTCTTCATTCTCATAAAGTAGGGAAATTACATTGAACATTGTGTTTTCTCCATTCTTTTGTTAAAAAAAAAAGAGCCCTAAACCCTGCTTCTTGGAGTGTTTTTCTTCTTTCATTTTCAGAATGGGTTTTTTGCTGAATCAGTCTGGCCACCTTCACTCCCACTCCCATTCGCACCCTCACTCCCCCCTTCCTCAGTTGAACTCTCCTAACACAGCCCACAGCAGCAGCCACGGACACAGCAGCCTTGCCGTGAGAGCAGCGTTTGTACATGCCCTTGGGGACTTGGTACAAAGTATTGGTGTTCTCGTAGCTGCATACATCATACGCTTCAAGGTAAGGAATGGCTAGTCTTTGAGGGAGGGTGGAATTTTTTATTTCAACTCCAGTGATTAAATGAAAAAGGGACTTGTAAGTTATAAACACTGCTGTAGTATTTTGTGACATTGTTGCAAGCTTTATAATTATTCATTCAAGATAAGTGAAGACTGTATCTCTCTTAGGCATTTTGTAACTATTCAAACAAAAATTCATAGGAGATAAAAGTAAGTGTATTTTTTGAGTCACTTCTTTTAATAAAGGAGCTTATTTTCATATATCTTTAACACTTTGGAGCTTCCCTTGCAGCCAGAATACAAGATTGCTGATCCTATATGTACTTACATATTCTCTATACTGGTGGTTTTGACAACAGTCCGAATTCTGTGTGACACAGGAGTCATTATTCTGGAAGGTAAGATCTGTGCACAATCTGCAGTACTTTACCTGTCAAATACCACTGAGAAATGATGCTTTTTTTGACATGATGATCACCATCTCTAATAACGTGGGTTGTGTCTGGAGAGTCTTTTTATTCTGCTGCTGCTACAGTCTTTGGGTTCTTGATAGCTGATCTAAGTTGCAGCAATCTTTACGCTTCTTTGACCTCTGCCAGAATGCCGCGAATCCTAGCTCTGCTAACAGGTAGCTCAGAAACCAGAGTGAAAAAAAGTGAAAAGTACAGAACTTTCTCATGTCTCTGTAGGGGACATCAGCTGGACTAAGTGAACCTTTGCCCAGGCTCAATTCTATATTTTCACTTTAACTTACATGTAAAGTTAAAGTGAATGTGAATGCATGTAAAAGGAGGTGGCAAATCTAGGCCAAATGGCTGGACAGGTAGCTTATGCCTGCCCTGTTTTCCCCTTTCCAGCAACTGCTGCTGTATCACTTCTGTAGCTCCTCGTATAGTAGCAGCAGTAGAAGCACAAGTCAAGAATGGTGTAAATGGGGAGGAGGGGGGAGTGCTGAACATAAGCTGAATAATCTTACCCCTTGTGGAGATTTAGTAAGAGAGAAAAATGCCCGCAAAATTCTTTGCGTTATTATAACTAGCAAGCTCGCTATTATTGCTTGATCTAGTACTTTTACCTAATGAAAGTGTTAGGGATGGGGGCAAATCCTAGTTTTTCCCTGCACCTTTCTAGCTCTCTCATGTGACAGTTGTTATTGACTTCTGCTATCCAGGACCTCAAAATCTTCAATGGAAAGAGCTTTTCTTGTCATTTAGGAAAAAAAAAAAAACAACAGCATCAAATGGAAGTTCACTCAGAAGACAAAAATGGTAAAATGTGCTTAAGAAATCTCAATTAGTTCCAAGGCAGCAACTGAGATTTAGGCAAAGAAAACAGATGCAAACTAACGGTGTATCAAATTCCAGATGTTTGAATTGTAGCGGTTTGCATAGGCATCCTGATTGTTAAAATATGTCGGAATTACTGATGTTATTACAAGTGATGATAGGTAGTTTTCATGTATGCTGGGGAACTTTACCAACTCAATTTCAGAAACTCCAGAAGATAGACATGTATGTCTATTGGAGACTTCTGCTTAAAAATCAGAGGCTTTGGAGTTAGGTCAGCTTTCAGTATTAATTTTAACAAAGTTTCACCATTACACTAGGAATGCTAAACTTAAAACTTACATGATTATCAAATACAAGCAATGAGATTCTAGTTTTTAAATATAGATTTAAAAGCCAGCATGGCAGTCTAGCCAATAGCATGATGCAAGATGTTAGAATTTAAGTCCTTGCTTCCTGGGAAAAAGAATGCTGTAGAAATAATACCAGGCCGTTAGCCAGTTACTTAACAGCTAAATAATTTTCTGTTAGTCTTTACTAGAAGGGAAATTTTGCATTTAATTTGAGACGATCCTAGACACTGAACTTTCAGAAGAGATGGTACCGGAACAAACAGATCATTTAAATCCCAGTAAGGCACCAGGTCTAGAGAAGAGTCTTACAAGAATTCTGAAGAAATTTGGGAAGCAAGTGATTGAACACCTCACAATATATATAAACAAAATCATAAAGCTGGAAGATAAGCTGTGGTAGAAACAAAGCTATCCAGATTATACAGAAACTTGAGTTTCTCCAACATATTTGTACTGTTTTTTGAGCCAGTATTGATCATCTCAAATTTTGATTTTGCTCTTCGTACAGCAGAAGAGCAGGGAAGGGAAGCTGCAGAGTTGCTGTAGCTGCTGAAAATATGTCAGCCAGAAGAGCTTTACAAATCATTGGTTTGTGAAGATGCAGCCCTAGAAGACAGTCATATGCATTGACCACTGCAGATGGATTACTACCATCATTTGAAGATAGTACCAGTTACCTGAAGAGAGACGTTTCATGAGACAACAAAAGACAGACCGTAGCATTTTCAGATTCTGACCTTAGTTTTAGATGATCACACATAATGGAGCGTGCATTCTTTGAAGGAAATCTTCATGGGAAGCAGACTCGGGGTGAGAAGAAATTGGCTGTGCATTGGACCATCGGATACTGTTTAGCTTTTAGAATAAAAAAAAGAATTAACATAGCCTTTCCAAACAAGCAATTTTAAATGATTTTTAATGGTATTTTTAAATAATTTTACCTCCTATTTGATATCACAGGAGTTCCAAGGCATTTGAATGTGGATCGTATTAAGGAAGACTTGATGAAAATTGAAGATGTTTATTCTATAGAAGATTTAAATATCTGGTCTCTCACTGCAGGAAAAACAACTGCCATAGTGCACTTGCAATTAGGTAAGATGTTGTATAACACAATTCCAGATTAAGTCCAAGTATAGGGAAAAAAAAACTCGGATTTTCTCTTCATATTATCACTAAGTAAATCCAGGAAGCATCATTCTGGGAAAAAATGATTTTGTACAGCAAGGCATAGAAACTATCAGTCGAGAAGGTCAAAGTTTAAGTGGAAACTGGGTAAGGAGAAAATGCATTCATACTAAAACATCTAGTACAGATTCTTTGGGTGGAAAAAAGTGTTCCTCCTTAGAAATTTCTTACTTTGCTTAGGGAAGGATAGGGTATGTGGAATTCTGAACTAGTATGTGGAACAATCTGGAAATTAGTAGTGTTTTGTCAAAACATGTGCCATTTTAGACATCTCATGCAGGGCATGAATATTAATTCTTAGTAAGAAAGTTTGATTTTGTTTGTCTACCAGATCCACAGTTTTATCAAGATACAGTTCTAATGATGGGATGTAGGCCTAAAGGTGTAAATTAATATATAGTACATATTGACCATAGTACAATATTAAATTAATAAATACCATGAGTGTGAACAAAGATTATTCCAGTTGGTAAGACTGCGTGATAGATATGAGACAGGCTGGATTGTCGAGTTTCTTGAGGAATGAGTTGTATTCAAAATTTTCTTGATTTTTCAGTTCCTGGTAGTTCATCTAAATGGGAGGAAGTCCAGTGCAAGGCCAGACAACTGCTGCTGAACACATTTGGGATGTATAAATGCTCTGTCCAGCTTCAGAGTTACAAACAGGAAATGGACAAAACCTGTGCAAGTTGTCAGAGTTCCAGTGCCTAATTTCATATGTTTTGGGAACTGCTGCCTTATTCTCGTAGTCAAAGACTGAGAGCAATAAATGCAAAATGAAAATGGTTGAACAGAATCCTTAATGTGTGGATTTGTATCATGTAACATGCAGCAGGGAGAACTGGTGCTGCAAAAAGTGCAGTAGTTGCCCTACAGAACATGTATTTCACTCTCTCCCTTGTACTGGTTTATCCAATTTATTATGATTTTGAGACAAAGTCGTTTGAAGATTATTGTTTACAGACTGCAACATGGCTCTGCAGATACCTCACAAATTACAGTTCAACGTTGTCCTTTGATTACTGTGTACCACAGAGTACCTGCACTACAAATGGAGCATCAAGTGTTCAGTATTTCAATTAAAATCTCTAATGCCGATCATGCCAGGGTTCCATAATATGTCATGATCCCTGAATTCATTATACAGTATTTTTGCAATAGTCATTTTCATACAGAATCTTAAACTTTGATGCATACAATGATAGTCAAATTCTTTTATAAAATTGTCTCTTCTGAAACATTGCACACCACAGAATTTATTGTACCCAGACCAGAAATTTAGCTTTAATCCGGGCATTCAGAGATCCAGACAGGCCGATCCTTGCCCAGGCTTCTGGGGTTTAACTAGAGACCCAAAACTGGACCCAAAGTGTTTTAAGTGATCAGTTATCTTTAATGTATTTTAGAATAGGCTTTATACCTTAGAAACAGGTATTTATTTTACAAAGTTTTGAGTTGTAAGATGACTTTATTATTAATATTCTTGAATGTCTAAAACAACATTTGATTCACGTTAAAAGGCCATTTCATTAGCATGCATTCTAATTATAAGTAATAAATGTGCTGTAATTGAACATTTTCCATGATTGTTTTGCATTGTTAAAAGAACACTGAAAGACAGAAAGTATGCTTGCTAGGAAGGTACTCTCAAATATAATCTGTAGACATGTAAAATACGTAGATCTTCTAGCAGGAGAGTAGGGAGCAGAAATTCTACCTATACACTCTTTCCGCAGACTTGAATCTCTGACCTTTTCATTTCATCTTTGCTCCAAGCACAGTAGCGGAGATAGCCTGACAGGAGTGCCACTGAAACAGCAGTACCTCACTACTTAGCTTTATCAATAAAACAAAGCCCAAGCAAGCTCAGCAACCTATTTTCATTCCACTTCTACCAGTCAAGGAATCCATGATCCTTTCTGATCTGTGCTGGACAACAATATTGTAACCACTCTTCAGGGGGTAACATTCTCTTGGGCCTTTTTTACATTGGTAGAAAGAAGAGGCAATTTGAAAAGACTGTTTCCTTATCCTGACAGCTCATAATCCACAAAACTGAGTTGCTTAGCCTCATGGTGGAATCCCTGTGCTTTGAGGGCATCTGGGACGATAAAATCTCTCATCTGCCTTTTACCTGCCTGTGATTATAGCCACTAAGCTATTATACCTCCAAGCTCAGATTTATGCCTGTTTCTGGACAAGCCGAGGGCAACAAGAATATGGCCTGGAAAGTTCAAAAGACAGACGGAATTTGGTTTCTTGCCTTTTTCCTTTATTCTGTGCTTCGATCTCTACGCAGAACTTCCTCTGACATCAACAGTAGTTCTGTATCCGAAAGGAAAAAGTCTGCCTTATAATGGATGCTGCGATATTCAGCTGTGAATGGTTAAGCTATCATCTATTTTGAAACTTGCAAGGGTTTCATATATTCATCAGGCTGATTTATATCTGTAATTAGTGGTAACAAACTTGGTGGCTTGTTTTCTTCCTTTTTTGGACATATGGATCACATGACAAGTTTTCAGAGGTGCAAACTGACAGCACCGTAGTCATCTGGACAAAGCTCACATAACACTGGATTATGTTTGTATCGGTTCTGGCAAGGAATGGGAACACTTTAGTACAGCATGGGAGTACATTCAACTCAGACGCAAAGTAGCAGTATACTTGGGAAGTTAATTCTTCAATACAAATAGTATCACTAATTAAGCCATATCACAGTTTATGAAAAAAGTGCATCCCATCCTTACAAACTTCCTGAAAAAACAACAGGTATTTTGCACATACTGATATTCAAACAGGAGTTAATTAAATTGGGGTTTACAGTCAACGTAATTAGAAGTTGAAGTATGGTAGACATGTATTGTATTTGAAGTTTTTTTATTGTAAGGATTTACTATACATTTGTTTAATTGAAGAAAAAAGCAGAAATGTGTTGCTTTATTGTGGTTTTTATTAAATCAATTATTAAACTTCACATTGCTGTCTTATAAAATATTTATTTGTATTGCTGTCTCTTGTCTTTGTCTTTGAGTCTCACAGTAGCTGTTTTTTGAAGCGTTCTTTCTGTGAACTCTCAAGCTTAACTCAGTTTGGAGACACTATATTTAGAATGAATCATGTCTCACTCTTCAGGCAGGACAATTCAAGTCTTGTTATTTCCCATGTAGTAATTGCACTTTAAAAACACTGTTATAAAACAAAGTATGAAGAAGGAGCAGCCATAAGGCAACTGGCAAAACATTCTTTCAACCCTGTGTTCACCCTTGGGGGTGGGTGGGAGGGGCTTGTTATCACGCCGTTATAGGCAAACTGGAAGGAGTTCAGAGAAAAGCCACAGAAGATGAGAACCTATGATAAAAGAATCAATGTGTGTATCAGGGAGATTCTGAAATGCACATTCCCTGTTTTAAGGTCTAACTAAACTCAAATGGAAATTCAGATCTGCGTGGCCTACTTCTAATCCTTTTTAAAGTCTTTGTAAATTAGTCGGGGCAAAGGTCTGGCACTTCTATGTTTCATGCAAGAATCCAGTATTCTTCTGAATCTGGTACTAATCAACATCAAAAGGAAGAGGAATACAATACGCATATTATCCTTTATAACACTCCCAAAGATAGAATAAATAAGCACAACAGAAGTATAAAAATATCCAAACAGAAATGATTAGTACACTTACTTCTAGGGGAGAGAAAAATCGTCAGAAAGTAACACTGATTTAACACTGCAAATAAACTACCTGGAACATACAACCTAATACACACTAGAAGTACTCTGGAAGTGTAAAGGGCCTATAAAAGAACACAAGTTATTTTTATAGACACCACAAGGTCATTTTCAAAGGCAGATGAGAGGAAAGGGGCATTAGTGTAAATAAGAATCAGGTGCATCTTTCCAAGCAGCTCTCCCGCACATCTAGGTTATTTCTTGTGGCTATCATAAGATGATTTACACCCTCTTACATCACTCTTTTCCTCCTACAAAAATCTTCTTGAAATAAAATACATTAACGTAACATTATTTTCTCTCTGACAATACGCATGTAAGATTAGAGCAAGGGTGCCCAGAACTACTGTCGCTGCTTTCCAGAGCCACGCTGCGATGGTATCGCTGACTGTACAGCTACCGCCCTGTGGGAATTCTGCCTTCCTTAACAATCTGCACTGGGAAGAAACTTCTCCTATCTTGACCTGTGATTGTCACCCTTCCTTTTCTGAAGCATAGATACAGCTTTGATGACAGCCTACTCACATGAGTCAATAAAGCAGTTTCACGTAGAGCAAACTGTAAACGTTAGCATCCTACTCTTACATTCTGAAGTGTTCTTATCCTAAGCAGAAAATTAACAGAGGCCTGTTTTATTTTTGGACTAATGCTATCCTTGCTTAACGCTGAAACATTCTTTAAATTGCATTGACATTTAATCCTTCCCATACCAGAAGCATTATCATTTAAAATGTCATACCTGACTCTGGTCTTCAACTATTTTACTCCTGTACATATCTACTGTCTCTTGCAGAATCACTCCTGCTTTGGAAAATGACTAAGAACAAAAGTAGGCTAGCATTTAGGAGTAGCTTTCAGACACGTCAAACAATCTAATGAGTAGTAAGTCCTTCAGTAATTCAGGTATTTTGGCAGAAACTTGGGAGGAAGCTGCACTGATGCTACTTGGGTTGTACTGCTTATGTTGAAAATAGAGTTTCCTTGAGTAGGGCTGTAAAGTATTATTTCTCTCTAGATACGCTAAAAGAATGTCATAAGTGAATACGGGTCATTGGGTAACTAGACATGATACGCAGTGCAGCAGCTTCCCAGGCTCCAAGGAGCTGGTCCACAGCCAGAGAAGTAGTTGCCTTGGGATCTCAAGGGGGCAGGCACATGCCACTGTAAATACTCTCTCTAGCTGCCAAGATCTTTTTCCTTGCTGATTGCTCCAAGCAGGCTCCAGGTGTCCGCACACCTGGTTCAAACATTGTGTTTCATCTGGGTTTTGCACTATGCCATGGCTCTCTGCTGCTCTCACTTTGCTTTCTTGTAGCGTTGTTTGCCTTCTCCTAGCTTTACCGACAACATTAAGCTTGCATCCTGCGTGCCTGCTGCTGACACAGTCACTCTGAGCTTCTCATGCAGTGCTGCGTGTGAAACATCCCCAAACGCTTTGCATGGACACCCTTCTCCTGTCCTGTTCAAATACATGCCCTCCAAAGCACATTTCCTCTCTGACCTCTGTAAGAAAAATCTGGGCATCAAGTTGCAAAGTCATAAGGAGGACCTCATCCGGAAGCCTGCAGATTCTCTTTCTGCCTTAAAACAAATAAACTTCCTTTTTATTCTCTCAATCTAAATCCAGTTCCTTGGTTCTCTCCATCCTCCCTTATATTTAGTTATAATAACTGGTCCTTTAAATTCAGATAGAATTTTTGAAAAAATACCATAAGCAAGCATTTTCATAGTTAAGATGACTCTGCATATTCAAATCCAGTATATAATTACTCTTTCTTTTTACAGATTTCATGTGTTCCTTTTTCAAAAAGTCCACTGTAAGAACAAGTCTGACACAAAATTAAATGGACAAATATTTCTCCTCCTGAACAAAGTAAAGCCTCAAGACCTTTCCTGAGTTTACCAGAAGGTGGTGTACTAGTCCTAGATTTAATAAGAAAAGTTGCATCCCAAGGATAACCATTGAGAATTACTCTCTTACATGTCAAGGGAATATATTTTGTCTCAAAGTTAAAAAATGTCTTAATAGTAACTAAAACAAGTTTTTTTTTAAGGATAACG